TGTTCCCTGAATGGATGGTAACAGAATGGGTGGGGCTTGTGTTGCATTACTGCACAGAACGATGTCTCTGATTTTGTATTGACAGCAAATTTTGTGCGTGTTAATGATTATCTTTAAAGTTATTATTGTTGACAATTTAGTTATAAGAATTACTTCAATATGTTTTGTTTGTTTCAACGGAGTAACATAAAAAACTGGCGTGCAAAGAAGCATCAGAACATTCATTGTCACCTACACATTCAGTGAGTGAGTGAGTTGGGTTTAACGCCTCTTTTAACATTATTCCAGTTATATCACGGCGTGTCAGCTTAATGTGGGAGAAAAGCCCGAAGTGATGCAGGTCTCAGACGTTTACCACTTCGGTGAAACCCACGAGCACGGGTATGGTGCTGACAAACCTAGAAACATAATCGGGGTGAACCGGGGTTTCCCACAATCATAGGTTTCTGGCGTAGTGGGACGCAACTCTGCACAGCGAATCCATCGCCTTAGACGAGTGGGCCACCCGTGGGCCCACCTACACATTCACAAGGAAACATATAACCAAAGTGACATTTTAGCACAGGGGAGTTAGACAAAACAAGTTAAAGGTGAAGGATTAATAAGAAGTTAGGCAAGACTTATTTCAATACTTGTTCATGGACAAATCTGACAAGAATGAAGCAGGACAGAAATACAAAATTGGGTCTGGGCACTGTAACTCATGTATAAATGAGTTAGTGAGTATGGTTTTACGCCGCTTTTAGCAATATTCCAGCAATATCACGGCGGGGTACACCAGAAATGGAGTTCACGCATTGTACCCATGGCGGGAATCGAACCCGGGTCTTCGGCGTGACGAGCAAACGCTTTAACCACTAGGCTACCCGACCGCCCCTGTATGATCAAGGTGCAAATGTCAAACTGAGATCAAAAGTGCTGCAGCATATTATTTATCAGCCAAATGACTGCGCAACAGCCTAAACGAGGTTATCCAACATGGCTGCTTTAGCGACCATTTTGAAAATGGGCATTTTGGTGTTAGTATTGCTGAAAGAACAGTCTAGCAGCCACGGAGTAAAATGTTTTCACACAGAGGCAGATGATGAGAGTGTTCAGTAGGCCTTAGGTTCACTTAGCCGAAGAACAAATGCATGAATAAAATAAGAAAAAGCAAAAAGGAACAATTGCATGTGTTGTTAAGGCAGTAAATCTATGATTACATGGGCTTTCTAGGTTATATATATAGAGAATTCATGAATATGTGCAGTACCTTCGTGATATGTAATTAAGCAATACTTAAAAGGCTGCATGTGGAAACTGATATCAAACATTCTCACAAGCATTGCTTGCTGTAAGGTAAGTGTATTCAATCTATTAGTATTTTTTTCCAATCTATCTACTTTCACCTGATCAATTTAGTGAGTGAGTGAGTGAGTTGGGTTTAACACCGCTTTTAACAGTATTCCAGTCATATCACGGCGTGTCAGCTTAATGTGGGAGGAAAGCCCGAAGTGATGCAGGTCTCAGATGTTTACCACTTCGGTGAAACCCACGAGCACGGGGAAGGTGCTGACAAACCTAGAAACATAATCGGGGCAAACCGGGATTCCAACCCACAATGATAGGTTTCTGGCGTGCCTGTGGGATGCAACTCTGCACAGCGAATCGCGGCGCCTTAGACGACTGGGCCAACCCGTGGGCCCTGATCAATTTAGTAACAATGAAGGGATACTACTAACAAATTCTTCAAAAACTGACTTTAAAGTAGCAATCGAACTTGAATTAATGCTAACCAATAATAAACTATACATATATGCTGCAAAATAATGGACATTTGGGTATAAAGTCAAATCTTTCACAACATCTTGCTGTTCCCAATATACATTTGGCATTCAGAATTCCCTATTCACAACAATTTCTGCCAATATGAAGGGCAAGTGTTTAAGATGGTCACTGTTGTCAGACAGAACATCATAACATTGATATGTATACACATCCAAACTATTCTCTGACATGGATAGCACTATTAAAAATTCATATCACTTACAATGTTTCTATTATCAAGATTTAAGTGGCTGATCCCCAGTTGATATTCTGGGTGTGATATGTGGGTTGGGGGTTGGGGTTGTGTGAGGTGGGGGTGGGGGGGTGTTGTAAATTTGTACATTAAGCCTGTTTGAAAACAACAAGAACCTGATCCTAAAAATGCAGGGAAAAATTTTGTCATCAAGTTGTACATACAAAATTGTTGGTTCCTTGGCCAAAGAGTCTGATTTGAAAAACAATGTGTTGTGAGCAAAACAGATTGGCTGGCTTCCCGCCTGGTAACGTGTCAAATATGTAGTTGATAGCGTAAGCACCTGACCAACCCGAGCACTAAGTCTTGCATCTTCCAAAGGAGGGGAACAACAGACCTATCTAGAATTCCAACCTATGTCCTTATCAGGTAAATTGGGGGAAACATTTTATTCAAAATTTGGATTTTATTGTTGCAGTTTTTACTGTTTTAAATTCAGAGATATTGAACCCTGCACCAAAAGGAAAAATTTACAACAAAGCATTAAACCCTCTTCCTTCTTATCAACCATGTCATCAATGAAATGCAAGTTGCCTACGCTAAGCCATAACATAAGACATAACTATGATGATCGGATTTGGGAAATTTCTTATTCTAATTTGCAAATTTTCACTGATATTTGCTTGGTGCCTAGGCAAGTGTAGATAAAACCAGTGTTACCATCCATGTTATAACATGCAAAGACAAAAGATTCCAATTTTTTTTTTCATATCCTTCCTGTAGTGAGTGAGAGAGTTTAATGCTGCTTTCAACAGTATTCCAGTTAAATTGCGGCGTGTCGGCTTTATGTGGGAGGAAAGCCTGAAGTGATGCAGGTCTCAGACGTTTACCACTTTGGTGAAACCCACGCGCACGGGTATGGTGCTGACAAACCTAGAAACATTATCAGGGCGAACCGGGATTTGAACCCACAATTATAGATTCTGGCATGCCAAAGGGAGGCAACTCTGCAATGCGAATTGTGTCGCCTTCAACGACTGGGCCACCCATGACCCCCTACACTTCCTATAATAAAACATGGTTTGCTCAGCATACAACAATGCAATTGTCAACACAAACAACTCCATATCACCACAATAATAACAAAATCCACTGTATGAAAGAGGAAATAAATCTTTAAAATATCCCACGTTTCCCCAAAGTACAGAAGGTTACACAGAATAGGTTGTGGCAAATCTAATTTCCATTTGGACAACTATCAACTTTAAAAAACAAGGATGACATAAAATATATTTTTTTATCAGCATGAAGTGTCTCAAAGACTGCATATACTGAAAAGTGCTTGCAAAATATACACATGAAGATCATCCTGATCATAACACAATCCTAGGACACATTTCACAAAAATCTTAAAATGGAATAAGTGAGTGAGTGAGTGAGTGAGTTGGGTTTAACGCCGCTTATAACAGTATTTCAGTTATATCATGGCGTGTCAGCTTAATGTGGGAGGAAAGCCTGAAGTGATGCAGGTCTCATACGTTTACCACTTGGGTGAAACCCACGAGCACGGGTATGGTGCTGACAAACCTAGAAACATAATCGGGGCAAACCGGGATTCAAACCCACAATTATAGCTTTCAGGCGGGTCCAATGGATGCAATTCTGCACAGCGAATCACGGCTCCTACGGCTCCTCCTCCACAGACCAGTGTCATACAACTGAAATAGTGCCGAGTGTGGTGGTGAACAACAAACCAACTTCTCCACTATTTTCACCACTATTTGACGGGTGATGGAGAAACGGCGTGTCAGCTTAATGTGGGAGGAAAGCCCGAAGTGATGCAGGTCCCTGACGTTTACCACTTCGGTGAAACCCACGAGCACGGGTATGGTGCTGACAAACCTAGAAACATAATCGGGGCGAACCAGGATTCGAACCCACAATGATAGGTTTCTGGTGTGCCCAAGGGACGCAACTCTGCACAGCGAATCGCGGCACCTTAAACGACTGGTGCCCCGGGTGATGGAGAAACAGTGTATACAAACCGACGAGGTACTGACTATTGTGAGTGATTGGGACGACACTGTAACAGATGGCCGCAGTGAGAGACTCCATTCATGACAAACTTTCTCCATCAGTCCGGACAATGTACTTCGGATGCCAATTGTCACTTGCCCCCTATCCAAAATCAGTTGTACAATGTAAAAGGTATCTCTAGGGCTTGTTAGATTTCAAGCTTATTGGCAATGTCATTATTTTAGCAGTTCATCATTTCAGGACAATTTCCTCTGCTGCTCCTGAAGGCTCGTAAAAAAAATAATCAGGCTTTTGTGTCATAACTATTCAGACGAGCTCACATTTTAGACTAATTTCCACCACTAATTAATAAAAAAAGTCAAATGCATATGATGAATTTGAAATACAGGGCTCGATTTAATGACCTTGATTTTTCTTGCCAGACCAGGTGCATGTTGACATGAAAACCTAGTTGCACCAGACAAAACCTAGTTGCACCAGACAAAACCTAGTTGCACCAGGCAAAACCTAGTTGCACCAGACAAAACCTAGTTGCACCAGGCAAAACCTAGTTGTACCAGACAAAACCTAGTTGCACCAGGCAAAACCTAGTTGTACCAGACAAAACCTAGTTGCACCAGACAAAACCTAGTTGCACCAGACAAAACCAGGTTGCACCAGACAAAACCTAGTTGCACCAGACAAAACCAGGTTGCACCTGGTACCATAAATTTATGAAAGTTGAAAGATGCTTATAATTTTGAAGTACCCAGATTGATGACGTCAAGCCCTAAAAAGCTTGACAAATTACACATAACATGGGTATTATTGTTGTTGGATAATAAAGAAAGTTTAGAGATACTGAGTGCATTCAAAGATCAATGTGTAGACATTTAAGGTTATACACAAATTTGAAAGTTTTCAACATACTTTATTTAACGTGTATGTAGACATAATTATTAGGTTCCATTTTTCAATTTATAGGTTGCACTGGTGACAGTGGTGAATTTTTTATACAGCTAATCGAGCCCCGTACTGCATTCTTGCTCTGCACGATTCAGAATGTGCAGGACAAGAACAGAAAACTGAGACCAGATTTGACAGTCTTGTTTAATTTTAGCAACCTCTTCACTTGAAGGCTTTCCACCAGATCACTGCCTCAAAGTTTACACCTAAAAATACTTGTCTGCCTGACATGCTGGATTTAAAAAAAAAAAAGACCAAAAGGCTTCTGAAACGAAAAAGCTTGTCAGGCTCCATTCAATCAAGTCTCCCCGTCACCCTGCCTCAACCCATACTTTCCTGTGCTCCTCCAGAATATTAAACAGTTGGTTCCTTGTGGTGTGTCAAAGAGATTTTAAGAACGCTTCCAGCAGTGTTGCTGTCATACACAGAGAGGAATAAAGCATGTAAAGTTAACTCCAGGTACAATGATGTAAATACAACCAATAAATATTCATCTCAATGAAATCAACACTAATCCCCAGGGAAGGTACTGAATATTACTGTGCAAATAACAAATTAAACATCCGATGAAGTAATGTCTAGTCCATCCAGAGATGAAGTAATGTCTAGTCCATCCAGGGATGAAGTTAAGTTGTATGTCAGACCCTTTGGGCCTAGTCCACTTTCTGGTCCGCGAGATCTCTGATTGTAACTTGTTGATCACGAAACACAGGACACGCTCAACAAAATGGCATCTCTTCTGCAGCAGACGGCTTTTCTGCACACCATTGACACCCATTTTCAGTGAGTAACAAGCTGGTTATCGGTTGATGTAGACTTTATATACATATCGAGACGTCGCTTTGATAGAAGGAACTGTGGGTACATTTAACATGTGGGCCACTCAACGATGACTTTGCCAGCGCCATTTTGTCCTTAAGCGTGTCCTTTATCACGTGATCCAATGAACGAGCAAATCCGGTATTGCATATTCACTTTTCCAACCCTTGTCATAGCACATAGGTCATCCCTTGATTGAACATCATTGACACTACACTTGATATTCCATTTCTAAAACCACAAAAATAAATATACGAGATGGATTTCCCCAAATTAAGATTCAGAAAAACACATCTGATTTCTGTTTGTCTGTTCCACGCAGTCAATTTTCTGTCCAATTGTCGATCAGTTATATACACACACAGCTGATGAATCACATCACCACCGAAGTTTGTACAGTTTTGGACCACCATGAACAACAAGAATTAACAAGCACAGGGACTGCTGCACTATGTCGGGTTCCCGGCCAGGTCTTGGGGAACAATCCCATGCTGCTGAAGCTGTGTACGTAATAAATGATTTTCCTGTTTAAGCTCCTCACACTGTTGGCGAAGCAGTTCATTATCTATGGATATTCTTTCAGTTTCTTTTAAACTCTCAGCCATTCTCTGGTTGGCTGTGCGGAGCTCCTGAATATAATCACATGCTTTGGCTAGGATCCCACCCTTGCTCTGAAACAAAGAGGACAACAATGTTAGAGAATATTTGTGTCTGAATGAATGAATAAATGTATAAATACTACGCGTTCCTTGACAAGGATACAAAATAATTGTGCCTTTTAGCCTTCAAGAAGTAGCTCTCCTGGACAGGCTGAGAAAATAATTGTATATTTTCACTGGTTCACAGTTTTTTTTATATCTGTTACAGAGTTGCCATCAGCGGTAGTCCACTAGAAAATGTGACTATTTCGTCCTGATTTTACTAGTCTTGGACATGCAGAGTGCAGACTCAATAATTTCAAACAATGCAAGAATCTTCAAACACTCTTAGTCATATCCCTGTAATGTCAACCTAGTGTGGCAGGAACCCCTAACTTGCCATACCAGTAGTTCAGTAAGAATCCCACAGTTGTGTTTTTGCTATTTTTTTCAGGTGAACAATTAACCTGCCTCTGCATGTGTTTGTGACGAGTGCCACCGGTGGTACAGGATACGCTCACCTTTCCGCGAACACCTGGTATCATCACTTCCTGATAGTGATTCATAAACACATGCTCATGACAAAGTCGGAATCATACAGTCAATCTGCTCTTAACAGAGATTTCTATTGAATATAGAATGGTTCTGTGACTTTTATTGACATGTGTGTGAGCAGGTTAAGTTAAACTCACACACATTACAATGAACGAATGACTGTCCCCTCTTTGAGGCAGTACGACACAGACAGATCTCTTGGCATGAATCCTTGTATCACATGTGTAATGTGAGCAAAACAAAGTTTGATTGCTCTTCGTGCTTGGAGTCACCACTGAGAGACCATAAGAGAAGATGAAATGTCTCGTATTCATATGCACTGGTCTGACATTCTAAAGACTGACACAAGAAACTGGTGTTTTGCCAGTGTTGGGATGAAAGCCTAGTCGACATCAACTGACCAGGGCCCACTTGCACAAAGTGATCTTGGCGCTAAGACTATTGTAAGTGAGTGAGTGAGTGAGTTTGGTTTAACGCCGCTTGTAACATTATTCCAGTTATATCACGGCGTGTCAGCTTAAGGTGGGAGGAAAGCCCGAAGTGATGCAGGTCTCAGACGTTTACCACTTCGGTGAAACCAACGAGCACAGGTATGGTGCTGACAAACCTAGAAACATAATCTGGGCGAACCGGGATTCGAACCCACAATCATAGGTTTCTGGCGTGCCCAAGGGACGCAACTCTGCACAGCGAATCGCGGCGCCTTAGACGACTGGGCCACCCGTGCCCCCGACTATTGTAAGCCTATGTTAAAGTAAGGGAGTTACGATCATCTTAGCGCTAAGATCACTTTGTGCAAGTGGGCCCAGGGTCATCAGTTTTTAGCTTGGCCATTCCGAGCGTCTGCTCGTTACTTATTACCCCTAATACATCAGGTTTATTTCAAGCAATTTGACCAAATGATTTTTATACTATACAAAAACAGATCTTGCCACTTAAAATCATAAATCCTCTTTGACGCACTATGAGCACAGGTATGGTGCTGACAAACATGACAAACTGTCAATTATTATCAGGGCCAATCTGATGTTCAGTGAGTATTGTTTTTACACCACTTTTAGCAATACAGGGTTAGAAATTAACACTAGCCTGCTAGCCAATTCATTTGGGCTAGTACAAATTTCCCCATTGTTTTAACATTACAAAGTCATTTTATCTTTACCGGGGCTAGTGAAGCTTTTGAGTTTAGTTCTAACCCTGCAATATTACAGCAGGGGTGGGGGCACACCGGAAATGGGCTTCGCACGTTGTACCCTTGTGGGGAATGCAACCCGGGTCTCCGGCATGACAAACAAACGCTTTAACTACTAGCCTACCTAAGGATGCAACTCGGCACAGTGAATTGCAGTTGCATAGATGTCTGTACCAAAATGCAGCGATAGAAACTAACAGTTTTAGTCCACTAGTCCTTATATATATGATGATAACACATAGAGAAACCCTTAAAAAGGGCACATTTCTACCAGTCCTTATGATACCTTAAGGCTATTTGGCTAACGCTGTTCTGTGAAAGTAGGTTAAGTATTCGACGTAATAAGCGCCCCGCTCTAATAAGCGCCCATTGCGATATTTGCTAATATATTGACTAGTGAACAATCCCAATTAGCACACCTTCCGATTGATCAATGCACACAAGACTTATTTATTCATGTATAATACGCACTCAAGTGTTATATGCACCCTTAATTATGGGCAATTAAATTCTGGAAAAATACATCTGTCGGGTATAATACGCACACTTTTCTTTGGTATCATTCCAGGCTGTATGCACAAACCAAGAAATTTACGATCTTTCAACTCTGTTTTGTTTTTCACCATAATTTTATTCTAATAAGAGCCCCCTCTTTCTCATATTGAGAGTGCCCTGGGCACTTATTAAGTTGAATACGGTAAGTACATACACTTGCTGACACTTGACCTGACTTGGTGTGCTCCTGGGCACAGTCAGGGACTTGCTTCGACAGCTGAACGATCCAGTTGTTAATCTTGTCCCGCCGACGCCGCTCAACTGAAACAAAAATCAAACAGGTGCTACACCGACGTTTCGTTTTCTTTTCATGAACCGCAAGGGCATCAGCAGATGGTAGGCCTTGTCAGTGGTATTCTGCTCATGTAATTTAAGCAGGGCTTCAGATCGGTTCATTTGATAGGACACTGACTAATTGTCATCCAAAATAACCGAAAGGTCTTTTCCTGTAGTTGGTTATGACATAGATAATATGTATATCATCAAAATGTCCAAACGCTTTAACTAGCTAGTTTGTCTCTAGCAAAATCACTATCAATGTAAAACGGCAAATACTCTGATATATACTTCTTGGGATATTCTGATCCTAGGTAACATAATGACAAATTGTGATTAAAGATATATCGGCTGTACATTTTTGTAATCACTGAGCAACTCAAACTGTTGTGTATGGGAGTATTCTAATGGCAATGTAAGTCATTCTATTGCCGACATTCATCGGCTACATTAAGAATCATAGATTAAACAGTAAAATAATCTAAGATACAGATTTTTTTTATCAAATCTGTCATATTTATGTGCGATTCAAATATCATAAGCGCTAAAAACAATAAATTATAATTAAATGTGAACCGGTGAATACAATGAATGATTTTCCTATACGCCTCTATCATGAAGTGTGAATATGGTGCTGCAACTAAATGTGCCAGAGCAAAATACATCCTTTCTGTTTTTTATTCGAACTTAGATTAAATATAGATTTTAGATATACCATCTCATAAAAAGTTGAATAGACACTTAAAGATCCATGGTAGAATAGGTCTTCAGCAAACCATGCTTCACTTAAAGGGGAAGTGTACACGCAAAAATCACTTTCTTTCTTTTTCTAAACAAAACGCAATTTTAGAATTAATTAGTATCTGTGTATGAAAATATACACTCATTTTTTTCACAGTGAAAGTAGGAAGCTCACAATAGTGTGAAAATGATATGCCGTTTTGAGGCCTTCGTTTTTCGAGCTAAACAGGCCTGAGTTATCCCCCTTAGATTATGACGTAATTGGTGCCAATTCAACTTGGTCCCTGTCTATTCTCCACGCAAAAGATATCAAGTACCAGTTTGCGGTAAAACATGGCCTACGACACACTCCGGCGCAGTGGTGACTCAGCATAACACTATGCTGGCTGGCATCTGAGACGCTAGAATCACACACCTGGACCTACACCACGTGAAGCGGCTCTAACAAAGCATGATGACGTCATAATGTTTATCAATTGGCACCAATGACGTCATATTGCAAGGGGCATAAGCCATGGTGTTTTTGTTGTGGAAATAGAACACTTTGTAAATGTGAAAAATATAAATCGTTTTAATGCGAAAAATATGTTAATTAATTGTGATATTTTTATATTTTTGTCTATGACACTTCTAGGTTAACACTTTTAATGTGGAAAAAGTACAAGAAAAATAGGTTAATTTCCGTGTGAACTTGCCCTTTAAAAGGAAACCATGCTTGTCATGATTGAATATCAACTTGTGAAATTCTATTGCACCCATAGTATTGGGATAGGTATCTTTCTTGTTTCTTCCAGATTATTTTCTATCCCACTTTGATGGTGCATGTCGGCGTGAATGCAAAATTCACCCACCTCCTTAAATAGCATTTCGACCCCTGAATCTCCGGGTTAGAATCGGTCTTCCGCAACCCATGCATGTTGTAGAGGTGACTGTACTTATTGTAAGAGGCAACTAACAGGATCTGGTGGTCAGGCTCACTGACTTTGTTGATGCATGTCATTGTAATCCCATTTGCATGGATTGCCATCATATAGCTGGAATATTGCTGAGTGTGGCATTAAACAACAAACAAACAAACAATGGGTCTTACCCTCATTATGAGTGGCTCTCCGCCGGTCATCCCGCGTTGACCGGCCCTCCATCTTGGGGCTGAAGGTCGTCCTGGGGGCGATGTTCCTCTGTCCCTGAAGTACATCCTGAGGGGACATCATCACGTAGAACTGGCCTGCTGCTGATACAAATACAACCTCATCACCATAGGTCTTCGATGTACATTCACTACATGGAACTTACCTTCAATTATAAACCACTTGCACAAAGCGATTTTAGTGCTACGACGATCCAAATTCCCATACTTCAACAGAGGCGGCTAATGGGATCGGTAGGTCAGGCTCGCTGACTTGGTTGATACATGTCATCGTATCACAATTGTGTGGATAGATGCTCATACCAATCACTTGATTGTCTGGTCCAGACTCGATTATTTACAGACCGCCATCACATAGCTGGAATATTGCTGTTATTTGTGGCGTTAAACAACAAACAAACTTCAACATCGACTCATGAGAGACACAAAAGTCGATTTGTGCAAGTGGACACAGGAAAATCATTACTCAGGGAAAAAAACAACATTGTTAAGAAACAAGTAGCGAGTTTTAGATTGGTTCATATTCTTGGACAATGACTGATTGTTGTCCAATGTTTTGTTTGTTGTTCAACGTCACACTCAGCAATATTCCAGCTATATGACGGCGGTCTGTAAATAATCGAGTCTGGACCAGACAATCCAGTGATTGATATCATGGGCATCAATCCACACAGTTGGTATACGATGACATGCATCAACCAAGTCAGCGAGCCTGACGAACCGATCCCTTTAGTCGTCTCTTACGACAAGCATAGTTGCCTTTTACGTGTTCTGATGACAGACGTCTCTAGTAACATCGCTCAGCGGGACTGATTCGGTTGAAAGAAATATGTCATACCATACTACTCAACTTTCGATAGGGATACTGAGATATTTCATACTGTTACAAATTTATCCCAGCCTGCAAGACTGTCTACATGGTCTAGTAACATGTTAAAGCATTTATCATTGTAAATATTTTGTCAGCCAGTGTAGATTTACTGAAGGAAATAAAAATTCGCTTCACACCCAATTGCGACATTAATTCATTACATTCCAAGAGGTGATAGCATTGCCTTGTTATCAGCTTCCATGTTTGCAAACTAATATCCAACTGGTTCATCTCAAGCAGCAGCAGAAGCTGCCATCATTGAACGCCCTCCACCAAAATAGTGACATGGCATTCACTAAAGTGGACCTGCAACTTTAAAGACAGGCTTTTACATTTATGTGTCACAAGCCGCGTGGCTTTTTGGGAGTAAAAAATATTTCCGACACTGGCCAAATTCAGTCAGGTATGAATAACACTGCCCATACCTCCAGCTGCCGAGACTGGTCCAATAGCGGTTGCCCCGGCAACAGCATCCCCTTGAGTGCTGACTGCATTCACGGGTTCGCCTGATCCTGCGAAGTACGCAAACCTTGCCTCCTGATTGTCTGGTGTTGGGCTCCCTCCATTGAAGGGGCTCTGTATCACAGTCTACAAAAATCATTAATACATGTAAAGGAATGGGTGTTGGGCTCCCTCCATTGAAGGGGCTCTGTATCACAGTCTACAACCATCATTAATACATACATGTAAAGGAATAGGTTTCGTCAATGTGCATTTTGTCGAAAAAAAGAACAGTTCTCATTTGCAGCTTTTTACGTCAAGGAAACTTTCTATTATGTTTCTTGCTTTTTGCCATAATTAGCATGGTAAGCAATAAAATTGCCTGTAATTATACAAGTGATTGATATATGACCAGGTCCCTACATCATCAGGCAACAATGAATGGCCAAGTCTGACCACCCAATAGAATTAGGGTGCCTTTTACGACAAGCATTGGAGTTTGGGGGGACCTACTTTAATCTGTGATCCCATCGGTGTTTCAGTTTAATACGCTCAGCTGATATTTGTCCAAATACATGACTCAAATCTACTGAAAACGTTGCCAAAAGACACCCAAAACAGCAAATGATAGTCATAGTGCTGAGGTCTCTTTGCGGCCCAGGCCCAGTTTCACAAGGTGATCCTAGTGCTACAACTATAGCAACTTCCACACTTTAACACAGTTTAACAAAAGTCATAGTGCTGAGGTCTCTTTGCTGCCCAGAGCCCAGTTTCACAAGGCTATCAGGGTGCTACAGCTATAGCAACTTCCACACTTTAACACAGTTTAACAAAAGTCATAGTGCTGAGGTCTCTTTGCTGCCCAGAGCCCAGTTTCACAAGGTGATCAGGGTGCTACAGCTATAGCAACTCCCACACTTTAACACGGACATTAAATAGTCATAGTGCTGAAGTCTCTCTGCGGCCCAGGGCCCAGTTTCACAAGGTGATCAGGGTGCTACAGCTATAGCAACTTCCACACTTTAACACGGACATTAAATAGTCATAGTGCTGAAGTCTCTTTGCTGCCCAGAGCCCAGTTTCACAAGGTGATCAGGGTGCTACAGCTATAGCAACTCCCACACTTTAACACGGACATTAAATAGTCATAGTGCTGAAGTCTCTCTGCGGCCCAGGGCCCAGTTTCACAAGGTGATCAGGGTGCTACAGCTATAGCAACTCCCACACTTTAACACGGACGTTAAATAGTCATAGTGCTGAAGTCTCTTTGCTGCCCAGAGCCCAGTTTCACAGGGCGATCAGGGTGCTACAGCTATAGCAACTCCTACACTTTAACACAGTTTAACAAAAGTCATAGTGCTGAGGTCTCTCTGCGGCCGAGGGCCCAGTTTCACAAGACGTTCCTAGTGCTACAACTATAGCAACTTCTACACTGTAACACAGACGTTAAATAGTCATAGTGCTGAAGTCTCTTTGCGGCCCAGAGCCCAGTTTCACAAGGTGATCAGGGTGCTACAGCTATAGCAACTTCCACACTTTAACACGGACGTTAAATAGACATAGTGCCGAGGTCTCTCTGCGGCCCAAGGCCCAATTCATAGAGCGACAGCAATGCTATGCCTGTAGTAACATCCATACTTTAACATAGACTTACGAGAGTCATAGCGCTAAGATTGTTTTGTGAAACACAGCCCTGTTAAAAAACTTATCTTCGATCTACAACTACCGTTCTATTTCAAAGCATAGGTGTTGCCATCATTGTAGCGCTATGACCTGTCATGGTATGGTCACACCTGTATCCTGTTACCATGGTAATGTGTCTCACCTGTGCCACCTGTGATGATGGAAATGCTGAAGTTGTGACGACCTGCGCTGTGGCCTCCTGCCCATCCTGCGATACCTGCACCACCCGGTACGTCACCTGACCTGCAAGATTCAGATCTGTTCCACTCATTAGCATATCCTTGGGGAGTGTATGGCAAATGATCAAAACAGAAATGTTTTTGTGCCTAACACGTGAAAAATTAAGACTAGCCCACTAGCTGGCTTCTATTGGTCCAATTTTCACCATACACTACTAAAATGTGCTGAAATCCAGGAATGTTAGTCCTCATTGACTCGTAGCGTTTAAGGGCTATAATTCTGAACCAGTTCTCAATGCTTCAATTTTGCTACAAATTGGAACTATATGATACTGACCAATCTCATTTAAATCAGACCTTAGTTCTCCCTATTGCTAAACAAAGATCTGAAGACATCCCATTAGGGGTCACGTCAGAACGACCTTTCATCCGACCAATGAGAGCGTCGCTTACCAGATCATGTAAGTGACAGTCGGAAAGTGATTTCTAATCATACAACCTCAAAAATTTCAACACGGGGTATTCCGGATGATAGTTACGGGTTTAACGACTGAATCCAAACAATCTAGACCATCTATTAGCCAGTCCAGAATGTTCTTTTGTTTAGGTTTCAAATTTGTAATTGAGAATTTGTCCAAATATGTTTCGAAGCGTAGTCGCAAATTTGAAATTAGTGCCGTAAAGCACGAGAAAGCTGCCTTCTGATTGGTCATTCTATTGGTCGGTCAAAGTTCGCGCAAGGTCGGTCTGACGTGACCCGTAATGGGATGTCCTCATATCTTTGTTTAGCGGTAGCGAGAACTAAGGTCTGATTTTGATGAGATTGGATACTGACAGAATTTGAAATGTAAATATTGTTGTCTTGTTCTAGCAAGCTACAAACTCTGAGGACTGTGACATATGGTTGACACTAGTCCTCTGTGGTACCGTATTTTCTTGAGTATAGTGTGCACCCATGTAAAATGCGCACCCCCTCTAGCGGATTCTGTTTTCTGGGGAAAACAATTCCGAATATTATGCATAGGAAAAAAAATAAATTCTTAGACTTCTATATATTTGTATTTCCATTATGACACTGCTTGAGGCGGGTTCCACTAACACAACACTAAAAGCAGAAGCCCAATCAGATGGCTCGGTTTCAGATTTATTTCCACCCTGTTCACTCATAATCCCATTGTTGATCAAGATAAGTATTGCTGTTTAATTGTCGGCAATCTGTTTTAGCGTTTAGTAACAAAATGTACTAAATATTCAGAAGTCGAAACAAGAATATGCATTGTGGACTTTCAGAAAATCAGCAAAACTTTCTCAGGAACTCTGTCAGGTTTAAACACAGCCATTAGTCCTCAATGACTTGTAAGCAGGGTAGGAAACTCCCAAAAATTTCAGCCAGACCACAGGACTGGCTAGCTGAAATACTTGCCAGCCCTGACCAAAACCTGCCTGCCAACTATAATCATATGTTTCTCAGGATAAGCTAACGGGGTTTCTTTTGGGTTACATTTTATCATTCATCTTTACATGTGAATTAATGCTTATCATCGGGAAATATTTAGAATATTTTCACCTATGAAATATAACCCTGACCGTTGGGCAGGGGGATTTGAAAATCTGGCAGCCCGAGCTGAAATCAACCCGTCTCGGACGGTCGGGCAGGCAGGTATTTCGAACACTGCTTGTTAGATCAGCAGACACCATCAACTGAACAAAATAAGTCCACAATCCCTGAAACTACTTGTTGGGAGAAAACAACTGGTCCTTACAACTAGTCTTGACTAGTGACCTGTCAAACCCCCAGAGGGCAAGTCTGTATAATATCTCACTCACGGAATCTACCACTGTCTGTTAATGATACATCAGCGCTTGTCTGCCAGCCAACATGACCAAAGATATTGTCTATGCCTGCATATTTTACATGTAGATAAGATAGAAATAAGGCTCACAAGTCTTTTTTCTTTATTGTGTTGCGTAACACTAAATATTCAAGCTATATGACAGCAGTCCGTCAATAATTGAGTCTGGACCAGACAATCCAGTGAGTGATGTTAAGAACGTCAAACACGGAGGTGTACAATGATACGTCATCACAAAGTCACCAATCCATATAATTGCCTCTTACGACAAGCTTTGGTTCCTGGGGACCTAGTCTATTCTAAAATGGAATCCATTGGGCTACAACATTGTTCCATCTAGATAATTTAGTAAACAGACCGCCTCCGTGGTCTAGTGGTAGAGCGTCCGCCCGGAGAGCGGAAGGTCCGGGGTTGGATCCCCGGCCGCGTCATACAAAAAGACGTTAAAAGATGGTACTTGTTGTTACCCTGTCTGGCGCTCGGCATTAAGGGGCTAAAACAAGGACTGGTCGGCTCGGAGTCAGAGTACGTGTCTGAGTGGGGAATTCATGTTAAACTGCGGCATGGTATCTCAGTGAGCTAGCACTATAAATCGGCATCAGTCCGGACTAGTACAAGCAGCCACACACACACATATACACGTGCATGCACGTCGCTATATAAGTGCAATAATCTTGGACGCGACGTTAAACCTAATTTCACCTCACTTGACCTATTTAGTAAACAATGGTATGAACCTTGGGTGTTGTCGGCGCGGAACTGATACTGTACATTGGGGTCAAGGGTCAGAGTGCCCTGATTGGCTGCCACACTGGCAATAGCTGCCGCCTGTTCTTCTGTTGTTTCCCCTGCAACACACACAAACAAATTTAGATGTGAAACCTTGTTAAGGATTTGGCAATTACAACCGACACCCAATCTTTGTAAGAACGGTCAGGGTCCCACACAAGCCCTAGTCAGCTAGCACCAAAGGGGTGTAGGGGCTAGTTGTTTTCTCCACCTACCAAGTTGCTTACACACTTTTCAGTGTTCGAAATAAGGCGATCTTTCACTAAAAGCGGCACTCTCCTACCCAGAGTTCCATGCAGCCGGCAGCCAGCCACCATAGTACGATTCGTCACATCTTTCACAGTCCATTCAAGATATTGTATATGCTTTTCATCCGTTTCATGTTTGACAAGTCTACACATTTTCATAAACAAATGTCAAAGAAGGGTTAACTTTCATTTAGAAAGTATGCAAAAACGTAAAAATCTACTTTTTTTGCGTAGTTATCCTATGTTTACATTGGTTGTACGGCTCCACGTGCTGTCATTGAAGCCCAACGGAGAGCCAGCGACACGGTCACTTTGATGCATAAATATATATTGTCATGCAACTCACTGTCGCAGTTGTAGTAGCATATCTATATAGTTATGCAAAACAATATGTAAAGCGCCCCCAAATACTTGCATTAGTCCGTTCTATACTGATTTCTGAAAAAGCGCGTTTGTTTACAAACAAGAGAAAAGACCGGTCACGTGATATGCAAATTAGCCTGTGGCAGTGGTGTTATGCTGAGTCACCACTGCGACGGAGTGTGTAAAAGCGGTTGCCATCTCAGAAGTGTCACTAGTCCTACTTTAATTTAAAAGCCTCGGAGAAACAGACCCTTGAGGCGTGTATCTGCAGTTCACCTAATAATGCCTAAATCTACAAATTTATATAACACTAGGCCTAGGACAAGGGATCCATTAAGTGTGTGCTGGATTTCGAACAGTGCTTTCTTAAACTGACTTGTGGACTATCAGTATTTAACTCATGGCATCAACTCCTTGAGTCGACTTCAGTTAAAAAAAATAGGGATGAAAACTTTGGATCAATTAAATGAATAAAATCGAACTGAATCACAATCCAGCACCCTTGAGTATCCAGTTTATCATGTCTTCATTTCAGTGTTCCTGGTGGACTGGCAACTCTTAAAATTACCAGTCCCCCCTAATTTTTGTCAGTCCCAACTTTCAACAAACAGAGCTCCAGATAAGCTGCGTATCTGCGTGAAATACGCATCAGAAATGCAGAAAAACACAGTAAAATATAATCCAAGCGTATCAAATATGCAACGAACATTACAGATACGCTACAAAAATAAAACTTGTGCGTATCATCAAAATATTGTGAAGTAACCCTGCGTATTCGATTAGCAAATCAGCAACTTATTTTGAAATTATAAAGGGGCATTCCGTCAACCTTGCCAAACTCCATGATGACAGTTACATCATGATCATTTGCCATTACACTTTCTTGTGGAAGTATCATGGTATTTTTGAGTCCTATAAAGCTCTCGAACCCACACAACACCAGTTTGCAGGGACCAGATGAATAGTGTTTTTAAATATTTAACTTAAATACCCACATGTGTAAAACCTAGTGGGTAACAGAAATTTGAATCATAGTTAGAATTACTGATACCCAATGATTTTAAAATGCATGGGTAAAATACCCACAACAACAAAAGCTTATCTGGAGCTCTTACAAATAAAAAATGTATGAAAGTAAGCTGGTTTTAATTCTTTCAACATCATGTTCAGTGCAATGAGTCATCTCTGAAATAACTTAGTTAGATCTACATGTCATTCACACAAACTTCAGTCACAATTTTCTCTTCTTTTGTTTTAATATTTCAAGACAAAGTCACTACAAATGGATATTTAACCTCGAAGCAAAGTGAAATGTTATTTCCTTGTACTAAAAAAAGACAAGGGGATGACCTGATGGTGACAGACAAGCTGACTTCTTTAAAAAAATATATTTCAATGAATATCACTGATCAATGTTTTGTTCAACAAAGATTTGTAAGTAAGGATCTTTATTTGCGGTCCAGAGAGACTGGCAGTCACCTGAATTACCAGTCCAAGCCTAAATTTACCGGTAAAAAACTGGTAATTACCGGTAAACGGGAACACTGTGAGTGTAGTAGTCTCTATGTATTCATTTGTAACAGTACCAATAGATAGGAACAGGTATTAATGCTTGGTTCTGTAGTATTTCATTAAATGCAAATCTCAAAATACCCTTAAATTTAAGAAAAAAATGAACTTTTAAAAAATCCAAATTTTAAACGATTTAACGATTATTTCTTGCATGCTTTCCAAACACCCAGTACCGTCGCCGTACTTGCCGTACTTGCTTTTCTGTGGGTGAGTTGGGTGTAATGTCGCATTAAACAGTATTCCAGTTATGTCACATGTCAGCTTAATGTGCGAGGAAGGACTGAAGTATTAATAATCATGATAATAATGATAATGATATTACCCTGGACCAACTTGCCACCATAGTTTCGTCCAGGTCGAATGATACCATGCCAGAAATAGCCATCCAAGCACCAGAACTCACTTTGGCTTGCGTACCTTCTCAAACACGACTTGGAATGCATGGTTGTTGAAGGACTTACCTCTCTCTGTCTTAATACTCAGGAAAACAGCTAAGACTCTGTCTTTTGAATTATTTAAAAAATTTTATGGCTATCTCCCACAGTTTTAAAATGAACTCAGATCTATACCAAACAGTGTTTGAAATTAAGCATGAAAGCAGTGTTCGAAACAATCTCATTAAAATCAGATCTTTGTTTTCGCTACCGCTAAACAAAGATCTGAGGACATCCCATTACAGGTCATGTCAGAACGACCATTCGCAAATTTTGACCAACCAATGAAATGACTGACAAGAAATCAACATTAGCCAATCAGAAAGCAGCTTTCTCGAGCTTTACAACACTAGTTTCAATCTGGCGACTATGCTTCAAAACATATTTTGACGTATTCTCGATTAAAAAATTAAAACTGATAAGAACATTATGGAATGGCTTATAGATGGCCTAGATTGTATGCATGGATATAATCATAAAACCCATAACTGTGGTTCGGAATACCCCGTGTATATATTTCGTGGTTGCGTGATTAGAAAACACATTCCGACAGTCAGTTTCAAGATCTGGTAAGCAACGCTCTGATTGGTTGGATGAAAGGTCGTTCTGACATGACCCTTAATGGGATGTCCTCAGATCGTTGTTTAGCGATAGCGAGAACTAAGATCTGATTTTAATGAGATTGTGATCGAAATAAAAACAATTGCCAGGCTGCCATTAGGACCAACAGACTTTAGAACCCACAGGCCCTGACTAAACTCCCGAAGCATTCTTCAAAAAAAAAAAAATGCGACCCGTGAAGATCCGGGGTAGAATAGGTCTTCAGCAACCCATGCTTGCTGTTAAGGCGTCTATGCTTGTCGTAAATTAAAAGGCGACTAACGGGATCGGGTGGTCAGGCTCGCTGACTTGGTTGATGCATGTCATCGATCCCAATTGTGTGGATCGATGTTCATGATGTCAATCACTGGATTTTCTGGTCCAGACTCAATTATTTACAGATCGCCGTCATATAGCTGAAATATTGCTGAGTGCAGCGTAAACCAACCAACCAACCAACCAACCAAAAAAAATGCAGCTTATTGTGACAAAACAAATCGACATCAAAATTTACTGCAGGCCAAAACGAGTTAAAGGACCAATAGAAATTTAAAACTACAGGCCCGACACGAAAACTACAGGCCCGACACAAAAACTACAGGCCTGACACAAAAACTACAGGCCCGACACGAAAACTACCTGCCACGGGCATAGGGGAAGGCGCTTATTTCGAACACTGGATGAAAGTGAAGTCATAATTGTGTAACCCTGATGTTAAGAATATAAAAGTTAGGAGTCCTCGATTCAAATACTGTATAATCAACAACCTCTCAATCATGGGTGTGGAAATATCCCAACTGTGAACATGTCTCCATCCAAAACTAAACAAAAAGAATTCACTTGTCCGGAGACAAAGTCTACTCCCGATGACCCCAGAAATCTCACACCTTGTCCACACCACCATGACATGGCCTTCTATCTGGTCTTATCAATGAACGAGCTTTCAGTGTTGGCAGCTGGCTGCCATTGCTTTCAAAAGATAAGTTTTGTTTTAGTTTTCACGTTCTCTAGCGTAATCTATGAAATGATCGGCCTCAATTTTCAATCTGTGTAGAAATTTCTGAATTATCTTCCTTGAACAACATGCAGTGTTGTCTTAGAAGTCCAAATCATGTCCCCGATAATGTTCCTAGGTTTGTCAGCACATACCCGTATTCGTGGGTATCTTCATTGCTCTGCAGTTTGTACTCCATGGCCCAAATAAAGAAGGGGCTCGGGTGGCCCAATCATCTTTAGAAGGCACCGCTATTCCCACCAGAGTTGCACGCCAGAAACCTTGCCATTGGTTCGAATCCAAGGTCGCCCCGATTATGTTTCTAGGTTTGTCAGCACATACCCGTATTCGTGGGTATCTTCATTGCTCTGCAGTTTGTACTCCATGTCCCAAATAAAGAAGGGGCTCGGGTGGCCCAATCATCTTCAGAAGGCAGCGCTATTACCACCAGAGTTGTCATTGGTTCGAATCCAAGGTCGCCCCGATTATGTTTCTAGGTTTGTCAGCACATACCCGTATTCGTGGGTATCTTCATTGCTCTGCAGTTTGTACTCCATGTCCCAAATAAAGAAGGGGCTCGGGTGGCCCAATCATCTTCAGAAGGCAGCGCTATTCCCACCAGAGTGGCACGCCAGAAACCTTGCCATTGGTTCGAATCCAAGGTCGCCCCGATAATGTTCCTAGGTTTGTCAGCACATACCCGTATTCGTGGGTATCTTCATTGCTCTGCAGTTTGTACTCCATGTCCCAAATAAAGAAGGGGCTCGGGTGGCCCAATCATCTTCAGAAGGCAGCGCTATTCCCACCAGAGTGGCACGCCAGAAACCTTGCCATTGGTTCGAATCCAT